ACTCCTCTCATGGATTTCCATTGCTTAATAAAATATCTTTGCATTTCACTCTTGCCACAGCTGCCAGTGTCCATTGCCAAAATTTAATTTTTAGCCAGCCAGTCACAGTGGTGCAGACCTATAATCTCAACTATACAAGAGACTGAAGCAGGATGATCTCAAGTTTGGGGCCCGCCTCAGCAAATTAGTGAGACCTTGTCTCAAAATAAAAGGGACTGGACTGGGAATATAGCTCAGTTCGAATAGCCCCAATTTCTAACCAGAAGTCTGACAGGGGTTTTTTTTTCCTGATTTTTTTTAAAAGTCTTGCAAATATATCTATCAACACTTATAAGAAAATTACCAAAAACTATAAATTACATGAATTCATGAATTCAATACTTATAAAAACTGAGATAGTTAATAATAGTTTCTTATAGTTAATAACTACCTTTCTTCAGATAGTTTCTGAAGTCAAATAATGCATAACTTACTAAATTTTTTAAAAAATCATTAGGTGCTCAACTTTAAACTAAATGCAGCTTTTTATTCGGAAAAAATGAAGATTTTGAGTAATGGGAAGAACATATGTTTAAGGCATTCCATTTATTTTTTTCCTTATAATTAAAGTTATGTGAGTATAAAGGAATTTAATTAGCACATTCACATAATAGATTCATGCTAGAATGAAGAAACTAGAAATTAATAATATGTTTACCTTCTTCCAGGGCATAAAGGTGCAGCCCTTAGGACTGCTTGTTTTCAGTCTTGGCAGGAAGGAAGTACTAGGGAAATCTATTTCCTGTTGCTACTAAGGTTAGTCTTCACACTCATAACAGTTTTTAGAATACTTATAGATGTCCTAAGAAATCAGTCACATGCTTCCTCTTTATTTTAAAATACAAAAGTCAAAGATTGTTGTACAAGATTTTGTAAAGTCTTCACAGATTAGAAGAAAGGAAACAGGTCTTTTTGGTGGCCAGAAGCACAAACTTGTTTTTACTAAAGTCGTGGTTTGAAGGCACATTATATATTTTCTATTCTGAAATAATTTTACCTTAGAGACATGCTAAAAGAATTATGCAAAGCATTCTTATACTCTTCACCCAAATTTACCAATTGTTAAGTTTGGCACATTTTCCTCAAATCTCTCTTGCTGTCTACTTATATATACATACATATAAAAATTCTTTGAACCATTTGAAAATAAGTTATAGATATTGTCCCTTTTTATCCCTTTAAGACTTCAGGGAGCACCTCTTGAAAAAGGAGCATTCTCTTCTTCCATAGCTCCAGCAAAATGAACAATTTTGAGAAACTTGACACTGATGCTCTTCTATTCACATTCATATGTTACCTTTATTTAGCCACTTCAAATTCTAAGTAAGCAGACTAAGCATATCAACTAGACATTCAATTTCCTTTAAGGGATAATGGACAACTAGAACTTAAAAATAGTCATTTCATTTTCCAGAATGTACTAGGAATAGATTAGGAACCTAATTCACTGAACAAACATAATAGAATGCTTTCTGTTGTTCAAATAGGAAAAGAAAAAAATTCTTAAACTAAGATAATATAGTTTAGCAGCCTACTAAAAATAGGATAACTAAGAGAATATACAAATTACAGAATTAATACATAAAGGATGCTTTTATTGTAAGATACCATCAAGGAAAAGTAGAAAGATCCTTTGTCTTGGAGACTCTGAACAAATCTGAATGTATTTGGAGTATAGGATTCTGATCTCACACACGCATAAATTTAACTCATTTGTTTTCATTTATCAAAGTTTAACTGTGGGAAAATATGCCAGTAGCATAGCAAAGGCTAAAGAACCAAAAAAGAAAGTTTTTTTTTCTCTTTTTTCCCCAAAATTTAGTACAATATGTGGAGTAAAAAAAAAGACCTTCTTGTCCTGAATCTCGCTTGGTGCTCAACCTAAAAGCTGGCCATCATAGCAGGACAGTTCACAATGAAATTAAGAGTGGGAGGAAAGAGGGAATTAATAATTCAGTCAGTAAAGGATCTGCTGTGAGCAATCTATTTGAAAAAAATCACAACATTCTTTGTATGGCAGTTCAGATTGTTCAGGAACCCTTGGAAGATGTCCCAAGAGGTCAAGGTCCTAATGTTAAAGCCGATCCCACACAACTGAATAAAACACAGACATCTTGGCCATTTCCCTTAACAAAGCCTTGTGGAACAAGGAACTCCAAAAGCTTTCAAGAGAAATGGCCAACATTTAACTTTGCAAATGCATGTAAAACCTATTTAATGAATGCTTTCATGAGGAGAACATTCTGGTGAAATAAAAATAATACCAGAATAAAGTTTAACCTAAGTACAATAGTACTAAGGTAGGCACAGTCTTGTATAGGCCAAATACAAGTGAAATTTCGGTTCTCTTATTTCTTTACCTGGAAACAATTTTTTATTTCTAGTTAATCTTTCAAAATTTCAGTCACTAAAATGTCAAATTTATATCTGCAAAGGAGTCTCTTAAATTTTAAAATATATTGACCTTCTATTGATTGCATTATAACTATATTATATAATTTGTAAGTTGCAGAACTTAATATGCTCTATAAACAATGAGCTCTCAAATGTTTCTAAGAAAAAAAATAATTACAGAATATATGCTTAGTAGGTATTTATATTTGCCTACAGAATTTTCACTGCAACTAATACTGCACTTTCAAATTAGGTATATATTTTTTAAACTTTTTTTTACTAATTCTTTTAAAAACAATTTGTGTATATTTTAGGCAGTTTTTTAAAAGAAAACTCTTGACTATTTCTGGATCAATTAAAACAATTAGGTCTTATTTTTTATATAAGACATCTTAGAAACTACTAATTGTAAATTATGCAAATGATGTTTATGATCATTTGCTATACCCTCTGCATGGATATGTAAAGAAGTCTTCTGTTGATTTTGTGTAATCACATTAAGTATATTTAATTGAAAACATTTTGTTTTTAGGAAAAGTACATTTAATTAAGTTACAGATAAAGATAACAACTTAAGGGGGCATGGCAGATAATTTAATTATAATGTTCATCCTGCAGATAAGAAAATTTGAAAAAGCAAAACAGCAAAACATCTAAATCAAACCAAATGGTGTGCCTTCTTTGTGCATCATATTTCCATGATGAACATGAGAAAGCAAAGAAATTTAACACAGTATGTACATTTTAATACTTACTTCATTCTTAGCTTCATTTTTAAGGATAATTATGTCAAGTTTTAATCTGTTTTAAAAATATAATATCTGCTGATGATATTATCAATAAAATATATTAGTATAAAAATAAAATATACTGATAGACATATTAACACATCCAATCAACCCACATGTTTAAATTGTAATATTTAGTTCCCAAGTTAAAATTTTAAAAAGAATGGTCAACTAGAAAAAAAATCAGAGCTTCTGCAGTAGGGTACAGGAAAACATGATACAGCTTCTAGACAAGGATGAGGATTTGGGGATTTTATTCACATACAAAATCATTACAGATTCCAAGAAGAATCAGAGAAACTTTGGATTCTCTGTGATGTTTCAAATCTTTACTGCATTGCCCATGGAAAGAACAGCAGCCTTTAACATTTATTTGATGGTCATTTGCATGGGCAGAAAATTGAAGGCACCTACCAAGCTGCATAAACCAAAAGCTTTATATTCTTGACTTTCTCCTCTTCCAATGTCAAACACCCATGTTTTCATTATACTCTTCAAACTTGTATCAATAAAAAGCATCAGAGTTGTTTAAAAATAAATGATTGGCATGCATGATAGTGATTACTAGAGTTTGGTAAGTGTTTCAGGGAGGATAGATAGAAGGAGGTTGGGTAATGTGTACCAAAACACAATTAGACATAACTAAAAAGTTCTAGTGTTCTATGGCATAGCAGGGTGACTAGAGTGCACGATAACCTATTGTATATTTTGTGAATGACTACATGAAAGGATCTAGAAGTCTCCAAATACAGAGTAATGATAAGTAGAATAGAAATGCTAATTACCTGGATTAATTCACATATATATATTGTAAACATGAATTAAAATATCACATGGACCCTAAATATATGTATAGTTGTTATGTGTTAATTAAAAATTGCTTTTAGAAAAGATTTAAGGAGATGGAAATATTAAGAACATTGATTTGAATATTACACACTGTATACGTGTATCAGATTATCACACTGTATCACATTGTTTATATAATTAAATAATAATTAATTTTTTAACAAAACATCAGAGTGAGGAGTTGTTATCACAACAAATTAGAGTGACTTAGGAGCAATTAAAGTTCTCTGCTTACCAAACTTCCTAAGCTATTCTGACCAGTTCTTTTCTCCAAAAGTACCTGCAATTTTGAGTATACTCATGCAAATTATTCATTTTCTGGCTCATAAGATAAATTCCTAATCTAGGAATAATCATTCCTCTACTAAACATTTTTCTGCAGATTAAGAAACCTTTCTATTCTTTGAAGGTTATAAATATCAAAAATGTGGGCAACCTTTCTGTGGGAACTTTTGGGGAGTAAAAACACAATGATGGATATTCCACAGTGTTTGAACTCCAAAGTAGGCACACGCTTGTAGAATTCCGTCAAACTATTCATCAACGTATGTACTGAAATCTGACCATTTGATTTTTAATTCCAACTCTAACATGAGAAAGAGCCCCAAAGAGAAATGCCTTAATCTTTCCCAGTTTCTTTTTTAGTGGTTTTCTTTGGTGCATTGTAGTTTTACATTAATAGTGGGATTCATAGTGACATATTTGGACATGCATGCAGCTTAATTTGATCAATTTCATTCTCTAGTACTTCCCCTTTCCTCTTCCCTTCCCCAGATTCCCTTCCTCTACTTTACTAGTCTCCCTTCTATTTTTTTTTAATTAGTGCATTATAATTATACATAAAAGCGGGTCCCAGCCTCTTTTATTTTATTCAGATGTTATACTTAGCTCATAATGTCAAAAGAATGATCTTGAAAATAATTGTGCAACTTTTGTGGCTATAATGGTACTCAACCATTCTTTAATTATAAGTGTCAGAATTCCTGAGTGACGACATCTATAACCAGGGTCCTGAAGGAAAGGTGCTGCACAGACAGGCACGGTGACTCAATGCTAACAGAGTTGCCTTACTCTCACTCTCCAGGCCTTTTCCTCCAGTTTGTGAACTCGTGTTCACAAGATGGCATCTTTACCTCCCATCACACATTACATTGCTCTAGCTCTTCTCTTCCTGGTTTTCATTAACTGGAATATCACATCTTCAGCTTCAAGAGAAGGTAGAGAAGTTAGTGTTCAGCTTTTGCAGCAGCTTCTATGCTGAATGTGCCCCAAGGAGATAGATGGTCGTGGGAATGGATATTGGAAAAAATAACCAAGAACATCTACCATATTTGCTTGGAAGAACTTTGGGGAGTATGTTAGTACTGTCCTTACATTCCCCCATAACAAAGTATATTGATTTTACTCTACATCGTGTGCACTTATTTTTCTCCTGGGGTTTCTTACTTTATCCACTCCCATAAACCTCTGACTCTGGTCTCAGCAGCAAGAGGTAACATGTTGTTTCACCAAAGTTTCTTAGTCTGCCTTTTGAGAAACCTGGCGCAAGCATCCCAAACAACTGGAGCATTTCTCAGGATCACTGTAAGAAAGATAAAAATGAACATGCAATGGCTTTAGTGAAAGCCATTTTAAAGTTTTTTTTTAATTGATAATAATTTCATGAATAAATAACTTTTATATAATGGTTCCTTTAAAGAACTATCCTGTAAAGAGTTGATTATAGCAAAATATGTTGCCTGAGTCTACAAAATCTGTCTCTCTTATACATGTTCCTTCTGCTAGCTCACACAGGTTTACTTAATCTTTATGCCCATCTTCCATAGGATTTGCTTTTATATGTAAATAGGTAATGCTAAGCAAATGTAACTCCTCTCTTAGAGGGATATAGAATAACAGGCACTTTTCAGTGGCTTGTAACATTGAAAAAAAAATCAAATGCCATGACCCCAGAACACCTTAGCCAGTGCTATGCAGGCATGCCCCTCAGACTGCATTTCAACAATAACAGGAAGGCCACAAACTCAGAAAAACAACTCCCCATTGACACATGGAGGCCTAAATTTCCACCACTAGAGTTCCATTTTGATGATATAAAGCTTTCACCCATCTCAAAAAGTAGGTACCACTGGAAATAATGATCATTTAAACTGAAATCAATTAACTCTACCTTAGTGTAAATGAATCCGGAGTGATTTCCTGTTATGATAGCTCATGAATGGGGTACAGAGGTGAAGAACATTACTATACATAAGCAATATGTCATATCCAGGAACATCACCCATTACTGCCCTGATGTCCAAAAGGTAGATGCAAAAGGATAATTTGAAACTGTAATTTCTTAGGGGAAGAAGAGACTAAGCTCTGTGGCATGTTCAATTTCTGAAAATTTAGTCACGTATGATTTGTACAAACTTTTCTTTTTGTGTTTCATGCATCAATTATAGAGCATCTTTTACAGCTCTAGAAATTAAGACATCTCCAAGCATACAGCTATTTTAAATAATTGAAGAATACACAAGAGGGACACAAAAGCTAATAATATCAGATATCATTATGTTTACCTAAAACTAAATTTTACCCGAATTGTAGACTTTCAAAATCACTGCCCACATATATGTGGTAGCCCTGGAGCAGTTACTGTCTCCTGCTAAAGTTTCCTTCACAAAAACAAGGAAAAAAGTGTCCTTGGAGAGGAAGAAAAAGAAACCAGTGCCATTCTGTCATCTGTAGTCGAGTCTAGCTTTATCCCAGATTTGCTCATGATTGTCACGCCCCTGGAAGGTCTCATATTTGCCTTTGGTCTCTCTTTTGCCATTTCAATCCCTGATGGATAAGGCAAGTCCTATGAAATCAAAAACACTGCCCTTGCCTCTTCCAACTATAAATAAAAATAAAAGTAATTCATGCTTACTTTCTCAACAGAGGAGGAAAATCCAAAGTTATGCTTATTCAACTTTAATGAAACGATATTTTAATAACTACCTACTTTCCCTCTGAATGTATAATTGTTTTGAAGCTTTTGTAAAGAATCAGACTCAAGTTTTCTCTTAATGATCTATTACACTTTTAGAGAACCTCATGAACCTAGAACATAAATTATACAGATTCACAATAGTTATTTACTCGTAAACAAGAGATAGGGAAAGAAAAGAGCAGTTTGTGCATTATGGAAAATTACAGTTTTCAACATCCATTATTTTCTTCATGAATGGAGCCTTAAATTCATGGGAAGGAAAAAAAAATCCCTGAGTATTTGCTAATGTTGTGGTTTATTCCAGCAGTTGCTTCAGATCAGATCATACAGTTCTCATTCATTCACTTGGTTTGTGAAACCAGTTACTCATGGTCACTCAACTTCTTTCCTATTGGATCCTAACAAAGGCATTGACCAGGACTATTGTTCTCAAAGGTTAAAATGCCCCCAAGAACCACTACCTCACTGCCAAAGTATGTCCAAGTCATAGGAACAAACTCAGCAATATGAGCAACGTTTCCTGGAGAGGAAATTTGGAGATCTGAATTTTAACCTGATCTGTACAACTAACTAGATGAGAAAAACTCAGTCAATTGTCCTATCGTGAATGTCTGTCCCATATATATATATATACACACACACATTTTAAATAAGTGAACAGTTATCTAACATAGCTTTTCCTCAACTATGATCCAAAACACTAAATTTTTGATGAAAAGTTTGTTCAATTCTGAGACCTACATACCTTTCTCTAAGGAACATTAACACTGCAAAGCTTCTGAGAATAGCTGCAGTAGTGCTTAACTTTGTTCAACCCACCCAGAATATTTTACATTTTTTTGTAATCTAATACCCCTTAACATCTGTGGAACATGTATTAAGAAATGCTTGCTGTACTGGCAATTTTCCAGCTATGTTCTGCAGATCCTTCTATAGATTTCCAGGTAAACATAGTAAGAAGTGGGGAAGGAGCAGAGAGGTGGAGAGGAAAGGATCAGCAGATAGGATACTGGGTTAGAGGCTTTCTTTCAACTTTTTACTTTCTGGTCTCTAATAAATAACATTCTGAATAAAGGAATCTATGACTCAAAATAGGTTTATCTAGAATCCTTTGACTAAGAAATTATTTATTTCTAGTTGAACTGACATTTTACACACACTACGTGATTGCAAAGAAAGGGACTTCAGTCCTTCTAAGATAGTTTCTTGTGGTACATTGAATTATTGTCCCTGATTATTCATACCTGTCGATCCCTCACTATGCTTTCCTGAAGGTAGACTTTCTATCTCCACCCCACTGGTTTGGGTTTAACCTTGTGACTTGCTTTGACTGAGGGTACATAAGTGTCTTAAGTGCTTTTGTGATTATGTCTCCCTTGAGCTCTCTTCACCATGAGAAAAGCATTGCTCAGATGGTGGGTGCTCATAGGCCAAGGGCAGGAAGTAGAAGACCCATGAAGCCCTGCTGAGACCAACGAAACTCCAGCCAACCCACAGGCCTCGGGTTATATCAGTGAGAAATTTATGTTTATTGTTATAAGTCTTTGAAATTTAGGGGTTGTTAATCAACACAGCAAAAGTTGATTGCTATGATGTTAAAGCAAGTGTCTACAACATTACCCTTGAATGGTTTTAAACTAGAAAATAAGGTTCAGAATAGAATATGCCAATTTTTCTAGTATTTTTTCAGTAAATTTTCCTAACTTTCAAAAAATACAAGAATGCTCTCCTCTCTCTACACGTACATCCCATTCTTCCTCCTCTAAGAAATGCTTTATCCTCCATAATTCACAGAACAATCAGAGGTTAACATAATGCCAATAAAACACTGCATATAATTTTCCATCAGGGAAATAATTTTTTTTCCTTTGTTCATAAGGCCAAATACTGCTTTGGGGGAAAGGATTTAATAGGAAAATTTTAATATGTATATCCATGCCTATAATTGTCTTCAGAGACCTTAATCAGGTCAAATTAAAATTCAGCTATGTTTAATCAAGCTGTAAATCAAATGAGAGCCTTCCCAACCAGCAAACATGAAAAGAAGTCTAGGGGAAAATAACTGTATTCCCTCCATCCTAAAAATTGAAAGCACATCTACTAACAACAGATACATAGTTTATGAATAACTTTCACTTTACTCAAGTGCTTTAAACTTATAAGACAGTTTTACACAAGCAGTTTCTCATAGAAAGTGGAATGATTATGGAATTATTCCACTTTATGGAAAGTACAGTCAGAAAAACACTCCCCTTGGAGCAAAAGTCCACTAGTTAGTTATCAACCCATGGGGCGGTACCAGAAAATGAATAATGCAAGATTTATGAAAGTGAGCTAGCCTTTCTGAATTAAACGAGTGCAAAGAAAAGAAGGAAAACTCGGAGAAAACTTGTATGAGAGCGATAATAGACAAAACAGCAGGGAGATTTCATTTCCTGAATGCTGATTCTTGGAGTTTGTGATTCTTTTGAAAAGGAATAAGAAAGGGATTTGTGAACTACAGAGGAAGATGTTCTCTTACTTATGCAATTAAAAAATACCAATATTGAGTATTAAGTGCCAACTATGAAACAGTAAAGATGGAATGAAATAATGTAAATAGGGCACAGAGACCTAGCACAGTACATGACATGCCCACTTTACAAGTGAGACAAAAACTCCAGCGTTCAAATCTCATGTTCTTTCAACTATTAAAAAATTGGATTAAAAAAATCAATACAGTAGACAAATGTTTAGTCAAATTAAGAAAAAAATAAATGAAAAAGATTCAACTAACATCAGAAATGAAAGAAGAAACATTATAACTGGTGTCACAGACTAAAAAGAACTCAAAGGAGACTGTGAACAAATGTACACCAACAAGTCAGATAACCTAGAAGAAATGTATAAATTTCTAGAAACATACAACTTACCAGAACTGAAGCATGAAGAAATAGAAACCTCCACAGACCTGTAACCAGCAGGGAGATGGTATTGGTTATCAGAGAGAAGAAGGGAGGGGAGGGGAGGGGGGATAGTAGGGGATAGGAAAGGTAGCAGAATACAACAATTACTAATTGGGCATTATGTAAAACTGTGGATGTATAACAGACGTGATTCTGCAATCTGCATTTGGGGTAAAATTGGGAGTTCATAACCCACTTCAATCTAATGTATGAAATATGATATGTCAAGAGCTTTGTAATGTTGTGAACAACCAATAAAAAAAATAAAAAAATTTAAAAAAAAATTAATCTGTAGATTCATACCTGTGAGTGAATTCTTTGGGTAGAACAAATGATAACTCAGTTCCAGCATTGCTCTCCAAAGTTGCTGTTGGTGCATGATCATGAATCAAAAAAAACAAAACAAAACAAAAAAAAAACTTTGTAACAAAGAAAAGCCAAGGACCAAATGGCTTCATTAGAGAATTCTGCCAAACAGTTAAAGAACAATTAAAACCAGCTCTCCTCCATCTCCTCCAAAACTTGAAGAAAAGGGAACACTCTTGGTATAGATGGGATATGTATGTCCCCAGAGGTTCAGGTGCTAGAAGCTTGGTCCCCGGTGAGGTGGTGTTGAGAGGTGGTGAAACCTGTTAAGAGGTGGCCCCAGTGGGAGGTAATGGGGTCTTGACTGCCTTGAAAGGGATTAACGTTGGTCTCACAGATCAGGTTGGGTCTCAGAGAAATGGGTTGGTTCTGGTGAGAAAAGGTTGTTATGATGAGTGAGGCTGGCCCCCGCCTGCTCTCTGCTCTCTTCCTTTCTCACCTTGCAGCCTCTTGCTTCCTCTCCTGCCATGTAATGCCTTCTACCATGTCATAATGCAGCCATGAGACCCTCACTAGATTAGGCTACACAATCTTGGGCTCTCAGTCTCCAAAACCATAAGCCAAAGAACCCAAACAGACCTTTCTTTATAACACTCAATGTTGTGTCAGGTACTCTGTTACAGCAATACAATACAGACGAAGGAAACTTCCAAACTCATTTTATGAGGTCAAGCATTACCCTGATACAAAAGCCAAATACACTACAAGAAAACTATAAACCAGTATCTCTGTGATGAACATAAAATAAAAATCTTCAACAAAATACTAGCAACCAAATTGAATAGCACATTGAAAGGGTTATGCATCATGAAAAAGTATAACATATCCTCAGATCGCAAGGATCTTTCAACACATAAAAAGCAATTGATGAAATATGCCATATTAACCAAAGAACACCAACAGCAAAATACAATACAATCTCAGTTGATGAAGAAAAAAAATTTGACAAAATTTAACACCTATTCTTAAAAAGAAAGAAAGAAAGTATTCAGCAAACTAGGAACAAAGGAAACTACCTCAACTAATGAAGACCATATGAAAAGACCACAGCTAATACCACACTCATTGAACAAAAACTGGAAGTTTTTCCTTTGAGAACAGGAAAGAGACAGGATGCCTGCTCTCCTTACTTTTATTTAGCCAGCCCAGTTAGGCAAGAAAAAGAAATAAAAGGCATCCAAATTAAAACGGAAGAAATGAAAATATCACTGATCTTAGATGAGATAATCTTGTATATAGAAACCCCTAAATATTCTACAAATAAGCTCTTGGAACTAATAAAAGAATTCAGCAAAGTTGCAAGATACAAAATCAACAAACTATATGATAATGATAAGCAATTTAAAATGGAAATTTAGGAAACAGTACAATTTATAATAGAGCCAAAATAATAAAATGCTTGGGAATTAACGAAGGAGGTAAAAGACTTGTACTCTGAAAACTGCAAAACATTGATGAAAAAATTTTTAAAAGACAAACAAAGGACCAGGCATTTCATGTTCATGGGTTAGATGTTTTAACATTGTTAAGATGTCCATACTATTCAAAGTAATCCTCAGATTTAATGGAATACCTATCAAAATCTCAATGGCATTTTTTTACAGAAATAGGAAAAGCAATTCTAAAGTTCATAAGGAACCACAAAAGACCTCAAATATACAAATTTATCTTGAGAAAGAGCACACTTGAAAGTCTCACACTTCCTAATATCAAACATATTTCAAAACCACAATTCCAATAGAGTGGTACTAGCACACAGACAGTCATATTAAACAATATAGTAGAAATAGATAACCTAGAAACAAATCCTCAGGTGCATGGTCAGATAATCTTCAACAAGAAAACAAGACCATGCAAAAGGGAAAAGACAGTCTATTTAACAGATGGTGCCAGGAAAATAGGAAATCCATATGCAAAAGAATGAAGTTATGCCCTTACATTTCACCATCTATAAAAATTAACCCATGATGGATTCAAGACCTAAGTGAAAGACCTGAAACTAAAAAACTCCTGGAAAAATGTAAGGGAAAAGCTTCATGCAATTGGATTTAGGCAGGATTTCTTAGCTAGAACATCAAAAACACAGGCAACAAAAGTAAAATCAGACTATTGTAACTGCATCAAACTTGAGAACAAAGAACGAATCACAGAGTGAAAAAAACAAACTGAAGAATGAGAGAAAATATTTGCCAATCATATATCTGATAGAAGATTAACACTCAGAATACACAAAATCAACAAAACAACTCAACAACAAAAACAAATAATCTGAGAAACAAAACTGGGCAAAGAACTTACACAGATATTTCTCAAAAGACAACATACAAATAGCCAGCAAGTACATGAAAAGATATGCAACTTATCATTACAGAAATGCAAATTGAAACTACAAGGAGCTTTCACCTCGTACCCCTTAGAATGGCTATTATTTAAAAAAAAAAAAAGCATATAGAATAACAAGTGTTTCTAGGATATAGAGAAATTGGAACTCTCAAGTACTGTTGATGGGAAAACCAAATGGAATGGGCTCTCTGAAATACAATACAGCCACTCCTCAAAAGAAAACAAAATAAAGTTACTACACGATCTCAAGAGCTATCATAGTGCTGCACACCTGTAACCCCAGTGACTCAGAAGACTAAGTCAGATTGGACTAGGTTTCCCACCATAACAACAGAATTTAGCTTTATTTATTCTTGACATCTTTACTTCCCTTAAAGGCCCTGTCTCCAAAACAGTCACATTTGGGGGTGTACTAGGGGTTGCGGTTTTAACATGTGAATTGGGAGTGAGGGAGCACAATTCAGTCCACTACAATTACTCATCGAGATTAGTTTCTTAGTTGCACATGTGGATTGTACTAAATAAAAATGGACCCCCCCCCAAAAAAAAACAACAGTTCACATCATATGAAGGCAAAGTAAGAGATTTATGATAATCTTATGATTCTAGCATCACTATCCACTTACGCTTCAAACCAAATTTTTGGAGGAAATGACTTTAGGAATTCACAATTACACAAATTATATATTTATACAGATCCAGTCTTTTTTGCCTGTTTGGTTGGCTCTTTTACATTTTAATCAGTATCAGGAGAAAACATCAAAGAGGATGCTATCAGGGCCAAGTAAAAGTTTAGAAGAATATCTCTACAATCTGTAAGTTTGTTCCCAAGAGATCTCACAACACCCTGGGGCAGGCTGAAAGCAAAACGGTTCCTCCAAAGATTTTAGTATTCTGGTCTCCAGACTTACTCTAGATTGGGAAGTCCCTAAGTATTTTCAAATGAAGTTTAAAAAATCTATAAATATTTCAGAAGGGTCTTTTGTAATATTCTAGATGAACATTAGATAAAATTTTATTCCCTGGGAACTATATATGTTTTCCTTTTTTTCTAAGTTTATTTTCAAGTCATTCCAATAAGACCTTCAACTGCCATTACTTTTCCCTTAAGAATTTCACCACACTTACCTTCCTAATGCTGACCAGTTTTCTTAGTAGTTGCCTAACTTCAGCAAATATTTCTAACAGACCAGAGGAGTATGAATTGAATATGCACAGGCACTCCTATTCCTGACAAAATACAGCTAAGGATTTATCTTTAATTCAAGGGTCTGACTAGTATATCTAATTGCAAACTGGTATCTGGGCTTGTTGGGTTAGTTTCTCTAAAGGAAAATTCATAGTTTTGAGGGTGAAACCTCAACTCGTATCTTTGTATAATGTATGAACAATTATAGGTTAATACATTTTCAATAATATAATTAGGCATTCCCTTTTCAATAATATAATTAGGCACATCTTTTAATCTGTAAAATTAAAATATGGGATCGCTTAGAACCATTTCTAAATGAATGAGAAAATGAGATTTTTCAAATTTAAATAATATTTGAGGAAACAGTCTACCATAGTAAGAACATCTTTACTCAGATAGATTTAATGTTTCCATCCATTATATTTTCAAACATGCAAATTCATGAATGTAATACACCAGGTATTATTTATGAAGGACTAAGTTTTTCTTCCCTGATTCTCACAACTATTGTTCTACATAGAATGTTCTTTAATAAGTTCCATACTTCCATGTGTAAATCAAAGTGCTAATTAAATATTTAATTTAAACACCTTCCAATAATACATCAATAATATCCTCAAATACAGTTTACTACATTTTTTAAAAAGTCATTCTAGCCAGGCATAGTGGTGCATGGCTATAACCCCAGTAACTTGGGAGGCTGAGGCAGGAATATCAAAAGTTTGAGTCCAGTCTTTGCCACTTAGCAAGATCCTATCTCAAAAGAAAATTTTAAAAAGGCTGGGAGTATAGCTCTCAGTGTTACAGGACCTCTGAATCCAAGAAAGAAAGAAAGGGGAGGGGAGGGAAGGAGGGAAGAAAAGAAGGAAAAGAGATAGAAAGAAAGAAGGAACGAAGGAAGGAAGAGAAAAGAAAAATAATATGATTTTAATTCAATGGGAACATCAATGGACACTCACTGGAATATCAATAATACTCTTACTATATTTAGGTGATGTGATTAGAGTGGTAAATTTCAAATAGAATGAAGTATTGTCAAGTTTTCCACTACCAACCTGGCAATGCTAGCACATAATACTTTTCTACTTCCTGAAAAGTCCAGAAATTGCATAAATCATAGTCAAGAATTTAAAAATATACATCAATGAAATACTGATGATGGCAATAAATGTTCCTTTATGTTGTTGTTGTTGTTGTTGTTGTCATTTTGCTGAAAAAATACTGTTTTATGGCTCCCAGCTTAGACTGGACCTTTGTGCCTGTTGAAACAGCATACCATGGGGGAGGGGTACACAAATTGGAGAGAGGTTGTACCTAATTACCACCTTCCATGTAACATGTGGAACTCTGATTTCTTGTTGGCTGCTGGGGTCATCAGAGCAAGACACATATGGGAGCACTAATCCCAGGAAATGCCTCTGTCAGAAGTTCTAAAACATGCGAGGAGCTCAGGACAGCCATTGAAATAAACCCTCACCCTCTACTTAAGGCTGGCACAAGGCCAACACTTTCACCTCAGAATTGCTTCTTTTCCTCCCAACCTACTTTGTGACTATCTTTTCTTATTAATTTCATGGACTTATGAAATGTAAATTAATTTTAGTATCAGGCTAAGAAGAACATTGAAATGAAAATATGGAGTCACATACAGCGCATGAGAGGGTCAAATAAAAAATGATTTTAGATGGTTTTTACCATTGCTTGCTTGCTTGAGTGAGAGGCTGATTGCACTTATAATTGATTTCCATGATTCTATTTCACCATTAAAACATTACCAGGTCATCAATGATTCTGCCTTTGGTCAGAAAGCCTCTCCTGCTGAGGCTCCAATCTAATCTTATGAAAAAAAAAAATGACATGTTTATGTATAAAAGCTGGCTTTCTGACTGCATTTGATGGTTGGCAGGAACT